GGTTCCAAAACCCCCCCCCCCCCCCCCGGCCCCCCCCCCCCCCCCACACATCTAGTTTAAATGTGACAACCAATGAGCAAGAATGTTCTTCTGTAGTTTCCGTCCAATGGATATGGTCATTCTGTACCTTTAAAGTTCCGGTAAACCTTGGATGGTAGTAGCATCAGCTGATGGTTTTAATGACACAAGACTGTTGAATTTGGTGAGGTTTTAAAGGCTGAAGGGACAGCTCGTTTCAATGAAAGAGGTATATATTCTCCATATTCTTGTTTGTCATTGAGACCTACATGGACTACCACTTTATCTGGTATCTGGCTTGGTTCAGCTTTGGAGAGAATTGACGATTTACGAGAGGTTGATGATGGCACATTGGGATTTGACAGAGAGATGGTAGGACTATCGGTAGGTGAATTAGGTAAAGATGATCTGCGGTGAGTGCTCTTTCTTTAAGAAGGACTTTCAAAAGCGGATGCCATATATATATGGCAATGGTTTTAGAAACAAGCAGAAGCTTGATATATTAATCCGTTACCATAAATGTATCTATTCGAAGTAAAACTTTGGATTGGGAGGGTCTATCGCCAACTTGTTTTCATATTCATTCTTGGGGGAAAATGATTATATGATTATAATGATTCTTTCAATATTATTGCATTTTAACAATGAAATGTTTTAAAGAAAAGTTTAGTTAGCTTGACGGAGGATTGTTGATTATTTAAGATTTAATATATTCTATAGTTTGCCAAAGTTTCTGTACAAATGAATAAAAAATATCGTCTAAAAATCTCACATAAAAGAATCGTTGAAAGGCGGATATTGATGATATTTCTCGTTCCAACTTAGTCAAAATATAGTAGTATAAGAAGTAGCTTCTTATCCCCAGCATCTACCACTAACCAAATTTGGTCTAAAATCCTGCCAACTTCAAAAAGATATAATGCAGTTGCGTCTTGTCTCTACCTTATTCACAAAAACTATTAAGAAACCAATTATCTAGAAGCACAATTGATAACCTCTGAGAGAACTTTTTTAAATTTTGATCAGAGGCTGTTATATCTTCGAAAAATCCAACTGCTCAAAATGTGCCATGATCGAAGCTGGAATATCCCTTTTAAGTGGTTTTAAGAACTAATTTCTAAAGACAATACCAATTAATCCCAATTATTATTTTATTAGCACTATTAATAACATAATATAAAAAAACAATAAATGTTTACATGAAAATATTTTCATTAAAGTCTAAATTAACATAAAAATCATGATAATTATAATATTGACAATTTATATCTTTATCTATTTTGATATAATATTCATCTTTAATCTTCATTTCACTTTCTTCTAATAAACTGACATCTTGTACAATACTCAACATTTCTGATGACGTCATAATATATGATGGTATAGATGGTTCTAGCTCATCAAGGTCGATAAATGATGACGTCATGCTTGAAGAAGATGAATAATTAAGTGATTCTTGTTGAAGATTGTGTAAACATTCTTCTGTTATATAACAATCTAAATGTGGTATCCTCTTCACATGTATACCCATT